TTTTATTAGAAAACTATCGGTTTTATCGAAAAATTACAAGAGGTAAAAAAGTTCCGCAATAAATTAGTCTCCCCAATAAATATTTTTAAATAAATAATTTGCGTCGTATAAAAAATTTCTAATAAAATATTGCAATGGGGTTGACTGTTTCACTCCTTTATAAAATACATCAATGATCGAAAAAATATTGAAAAGTTGTCTCTTTATTAGTGGGATGCTTTTACGTTTATTACGTCCGATGATTCAGCTATGTATTTACTAGCTACTACAGACAAAATTTTAATTACTAGATGAATAAAACCCAATTTCTTTTCAAGGAAATTTTCTACTCATATTTCTCAAAATTTATTAAAATATTTTACCGGGAAATTATAAATTGCCTCATTTAGCAATAATTAAACTTAAACTGCCGTCATTTTAAATCGCTTTATTAAATGAATGCAATTAGATGAAGAAAGTACAATTCAAAGAGACAGAAAAATACCACGGATTTGTTGTCAGTCTAAGTTTAACACTTATTTACCAACCCTTTACAAAATGACTATTTCGAGTACACTTCATGGATAGACTTGCTAATGGTAATGGTCTTGAAGCTCGTCATTGAAGTTCAAGGTGAACTGGACGTGGTGGCCAACTAAATCGCCAGACCTGAGTATGCTGGACTTTATTTAGTATTGATTTGGGTAAAAAAAAACTAAAATTATACTACAGCTGCGGCCGTTTCAAATCTTAACACGAATTAAAAATTATTTATTACGGTTATTATTAAAGCTGCGGCCCTGTTTTTTTTCCACAACACAATTACGTTATAAATTAAATGAACCCATTCTGTATGTAACAAGTTGAGATGATCCCACAAACACACGTCCAGTTGGGCAGCATATCCGTTTATCAGTTTCTTTTTTTTTTTTTTCGGTAAATATAACTGCCGTGGGCCTACAGGTGTTCTTTCAGGGGTGCACACTGCCTGATCCTAAATTCGTACACCTTGCGTCTGTTCTCTTCAGCGTGGGAAAATCGCCCAGTTACACAAGTCGTGGGCCCGGCAGCAGCCTGACACAATGCTGGCACCCTGCTCCACTCTCTCGACCCCTCAGACCCCCCTTCCGCGTCCGTAGGGGAGACGCGTGTAAGACTTGTGTAAAAATCACTGCCAAAGGCGATTGAAACCGGTAAATTCAAGGATAATTGAAAAACGGAGTTTTAAATGATAATTTAATTTCCCAAAATTAAATTCGGACCCTCGACAGGATGTTTTGGGGTTGGTTCTTGCAAAATTCGAATTTGAATTCGATTGATTAAAATAAAAAAAAGTTGTAGAGAGAAATATCCGAAAACATTTCTTTTTCGAGGTACAGAGTGTCAATTATGAAAAAAGAATCGCGTTTTTTTCAAACATCGCAAACATGAAAGAACCCCGCACAAAATCAATGGAAAATGGGTCCCAGTCGATTTTGTTGAAATTGCAGAATGTTATAGTAACCCTAAAGGTCACCTTCAAGTCAATTCAAGGTCATTTCAACATCACACTAAAGAAAAGGCTTATATTGAATTTCAACCAGTATGTTTTTTTTGGGAGAGGGGACTGAATTCGGGATAGCTTAGCCCTACAAGGTCACATTTAGGTCAAGTCAAGATCAATTCAAAATCAACGTAAAGAAAAGGCCTTTCACCTGCAAGTATGTATGTTTTTGAGGTCGCTTCGGGGATAGCTTAGCCCCATAAGGTCACTTGGAAATCAAATCAAGGTCATTTCATTTGACTTAATTTCAATTCAAGAGCCGCAGATGACCTTATAGGGCTAAACTATCACCGAATTCAGGCTCAGCGACCTCAAAAGCATACATATTTACACGTTAGCATTCGTGAAAGGCCTTTTTTTACTTTGACCTTGAAATGATCTTGACTTGACCTAAATGTGAACCTGTAGGGCTAAGCTATCCCCGAATTCAGGTTCAGCGACCTCAAAAGCATACATACTTACAGGTTAACATTCGTGAAAGGCCTTTTCTTTGCTCTGACCTTGAAATGATCTTGACTTGACCTAAATGTGACCTTGTAGGGCTAAGCTATCCCTGAATTCAGTTCCCCCCCCCCCAAAAAAAAACTTATACACGCACTGGTTGAAATTCAATACAAGCCTTTTCTTTAGTTTGATATTGAAATGACCTTGAATTGACTTGAAGGTGACCTTTAGGGTTAAGCTATCTCCAGATTCAGATTTTGCGAGCCCAAAAACTTATACATTCACTGGTCAAAATTCAATTAAAGTCTTTTCTTCAGTTTGACCTTGAAACGACCTTTACCTGACTGGGACCCATTTTCCATTGATTTTGTGCGGGGTTCTTTGAGCTAATGGCTTGGAAAAGGTGTTTTAAAAAAAAAAGGTACCATAAATTCAGGAATTAGTAGAAAATTAAAACAATAAGACCACAGATCTATTATCTTTTGTTTTTGAGATACAAAGCACCAAAGATATTTTTTTAAATCAAACTTTAGTCATATTTTTTCCAAAAATCAATATAATGAATAGAAATTTCCTACAGTAAAGTTTTTGATGGTGCTAAATACATCAGTGTTGCCAGTTTTTGACTATCTGCTAGAGGTCGCTGCTTACGACCTCTACCATTGACATTTTCTGACAACTTTTTTGAGGTTATATTTTACATATTTTGCAACTGTAACGAAATTGACTATTCCAAAGTTAACCAGCTTTTATTCTTTGATTATTCAAGATCTAAATAGGTTTGTTTTCATCCAAGAGAGCTATCCTTTCGTTCCAGACATCCTGTATATTAAGGAACAGAAAGTGGTTGACTTTGGGACATATAAATGTACTTTCGTCAAAACCGTTGCGTTTCCAACGTTTTCTGTTATGTAAAATTAAATTTTACATTATTGTAATATACTACTGGAAAACATAACCTCAAAAAAAATTTGTTACTTGGTAAGGCCGTAGCTAGCGACATCCAGCAGATGGTCAAAAACTATTAACAATGATGTATTTTTTATTCATAAAAACTTACTTGTTTCAATTATAATTACGGTATTTTTTTGGAAAAATGCCTAAAATTTGATTTCAAAAACAAAGTAGTAGGTCCAAGGTCCATAGGTCCCTAGAAAAAAACGTTATTTTTTTACGTTTTATCCCACCCTCAATTTGTAGTACCTTTTTTTTCGAACCACCCTGTATATATACGTCAAAGTTACTGAAGACATCAGAAATTCGACGTCACGACGTCAAAATATCCATATTTTGGGAATTGGAGTACTGCGTAACTTCTTTTGTAAAAGAGTAGTTTGTAGAGTTATTTTAGATTAACTGAAATTTTTGGTATCGAAAATGTAAGTTAAAATAAAATAATAACCCCAAAATAGTGCATTTTCCTACTCAAAAACCGCAATTAAAAACAGTAACTGAATTAGCATAATACCCATTGGCACCGAATACCTATTACAATTATTACAATTCGGTCGAATCAATTTTTTTTCCTACTGTTTAGCGACTTTGGTTTTCGAGTTTTTAAACTTTTTAAACGAAGTACGGGGGGGATTCTGTGTAAAGTTTTATTTTCGGAACAATGAGGAGCTTGCGAGAAGAAAAAACAAAATTAAACTTGTATAGATGTAAATGAATGATGAAGCCGAGGCAATAAAACATTAGAAAAACGTATGTCAGAAAGTAACGTATAATTTGTTCCTTTAAAATTATTAACGAGATGTTTACCACGAAAAGATAATACTTGTTCTAGATGGTATCTCAACCCTGTTACTATTATTCTTAGAAGCGTTGCAATTAGATGGCTGGTCAAGAAAGAATTGGCTTCTGCTACCTGATCTTCAATCCTCGAGATTCGAAGATTAACTACTGGGCTTTGGATACTGTAAACTAACGTCCCGTAATTTTTTTCGCTGACACCAAGATGTATAAGATTTTATTTTTGAGTATTTTTTGTTTTAACACTCTGTATAATGGACTTCTTAGAGACGATAAAGATCAAATTAAGATATAAGGCAAATCGAGAATATGTTATTGAAGTTAACAACAAAAATTAATTTTTGTAATTACCGCAAGTCTCGGATATAATTCAATTAATTTTTCTTAAAATAAACCCGTTTTGCACCGGACCTGAAATTTAATCGGGTTAATAATATGTACTTACTTGAAGACATAATAGAATTAAAGTTATGGTGTGTATGAATACTAAACTCGATGAATAAATTAGACCAATAGATTATTTCTTTGTTGGCCTTTTTTGGGCAGACAATTTCATTTAAGCGCCTCTAAATACACAGCAAGCAGTACGATAGCCAAAAATACATAGGCACTATTTTATTTTTTGCACATTTTCCCATTTTTTTCATTTATAATTCATTTTACTTTTTTTGAATTGTCCAATTTTAATAAAATAAATCGAGTTAGCTTAATATATTTGAAAGTATCGCGAAACAAGATAATTTAAATTAATTTAAAACAATTTTATAGGTAGTTTGGAATAACGTAAAAAGCTTTTAATTAATTTTGACATAAGATGAAACCCGCCTTAAGATCCCTGAGCTGTACCAAAACTAAATATTTCTTTCCAATATTCCACCACATTTCCAAGAACGTGTTAATTGTTCCAGATGATAGTGTTGTACTAAGAAATTGTTAATTACTACTTCATTTAATAATAATTACTTATATTAGAGTCACATATATGGGTATAAACATGCCTACAGAGTACATATATAATTTCTCACATGCTTGATTAAGTAAATAATATAACTACATTGTGATGAAAAGAAAACAAAACTGAAACAAAACTTTCGAATGAGTGACAGTTAAGAAACAACTAATTTTAACGAGAGCATGTAAAAGTCAGTCTACAAAACGCTTAGGCCATTAATATTCCTTATTTTTTCTGCCATTCCCAGTCTTTCGCCAAGACCTATTCAAAATAAATTTGCTAAGCTTTCGAACGAGTCGACGCCTAGATCTTTAATTTTTATTTTTCCAGGAATCAGAGCAGGACTTGCCCCTGTGCAACGCGAGGTCGATATGCAATAAAGTGGACTTATACGACAACCCTTGGGTGGAAAGGCAATGTAGATGTGCCGAAGGGAAAACCTGCCCCTTAGGTATCCAGACTGATGACGGGTACACCTTCGTGGAAAAAACGAGGCAGTATAAGCTATGCGAGCCTATCAAGAAAATACCGAAATGCAGGTAAATCCTTTACCCGTCTCTGACTTTTCTAAGACTTAAGAAATTTAAAATGAATATTTTGTAGGTATTTCCGGGATATGACGTGGTCTATAACGTTATTTCCAAATAACGTGACAGATCAAGTGGTCCATTGCCATTGCCCGAAGAACTCTCTGACGTATTTAAATAAAAGAAATGTCCTACACTTGCCTAACGAGGAGCTAGCGTTTCAGTATTTATTTTCCTGCTCGCCGCAAACGGTAAGTCAAACTTTTAATGCCGAAAATATGCTTTATTAAAAGGAAATTAGCACAGTTTGAGTGCGGCAGTGAAATAGAATCAATATTACACAGGGTGTAAGAAGTATGACTGCCATTACTTCCGCATGTGATATAGTAATCAAAAATCAACATTCAAAATACAGCGAGTATTAATATTGGGGAGTTTCATCACAGCGTGACAACAGCGCTTGACCTGCCGATGTACACCACGTGTGCACGCGGCAGACTTGTCCTACGGAAAAAATGTAAACAACTGTTATTGTGAAACATTTAGTAAACTTCAAGACAATCCAGTTTTTAAATAAATAAAATAAAATGTAACGATTTTGTAGTACGAAGATACTGTTGTGCATAAATTTTAGCTCGATTTTAGTAATTATGAATCTATTAAAACAGGAACTTAACATTTAATCAAATTATGAATTTGAAAAATATGTAATTAAAGTACCCAAAGATCCCGTCGTCCAAATAATCAATCAAAGGTATTAAAAATAATTTAGGTACTACCAAACAGCAAAATTCCATCACCACGCACGCACGACACCTTCGAATCCAAGTTTCGCGCACTCGCTGGAAAACACTCCGACACGGTCGAATCCAGATACCAACTGAATTGCGTATTGGTGGTTGCTGGACACCTTAGTACCTTGTGTTAATAAACCGCAGTGCCGTTTTTTTGTTTATTTTAATATATTCTCTCGTCTGTTAAAATTAAGGCAGTCAAACTTCTAACACCCTGTATACCAGAAGATTAAAATGCATCTTTTATTAATTTTTCTCGAAGCTAGTTGAAAAAAGCAAGGATTTCGCAAGATTTTTAATTTTAAGAATCTTTTTCAAATAATTTTACTGTAGACTCAGATTTTTGCTTCAACATTTCAGGTCCAAGAAACTATAAGCATCCTGATGCCAATTCAACATTATTTTTGATAAATAATATTCATCAATTTAAGTTTTAATAATATTTTTTTGCTGTGACAATTTTTCTCTTATAATAATACGAGAATTTTAAAATTTTACACAAAAAACGCCTCCACGCCACCCCTGACTGATTTTAGGTCGTGGTCATCTTTTTATAAAGGATAAAATTAGATGGATTATGGATTACACAGCCACACAGAAAAAAAAAGTTGGGTATACTTTTTATGCGACATATATTTTTCGTAGTAATTTGGCCTCCTGAACACGAATCTGGGGTCAGAATTGGCCCATCACGTCACAATTTTTTCCTAACCTCAAAAAACTTGTGAAAAATAGTGAAAATTGATGAAAATTTACTGGGAAAATTTGGAAAAAAATTTATTTCCACATCAAATAGTACATTTTTATGTAAAAGACTCTGCTGAATTCAAATCCACTGTCAGAATTGAGCTAGAACGTGTGGTTTTTTTTCTAACCTCAAAAAACCGAGCAGGAATCGCTATTTTCAAATTCTGAGCGGATTTTGACCAGATTTTGTATAAAGGGGTTTTTTGGGTCGCTGATTACGAATATGAATTCACATTGTAAAAATTCAAGATGGCTGATCCAATATGGCGGGTGTACTTTTTTGAAATCCACCGATTTCAGTAAAATTTGGCATCATAAGGATTGCTGGTTGATCTCACCTTCATTAATCACACATCTGGAGCCAGATTTTCATAAATCAAGGTAAAAGATTCCACTCCGTCTAAAAATGTGACTTCGCTTAAAAAAATGACTTAAGGACTCTACACATGTAATGATGTGTAGTGTGATGTGCTTGTTTCCATGGGACAAGACAAAAAAGTTTCTACTTTATTCTTTCATTTATTTAGTCGTGCATGGGCTTATGGTTTTCCAATCAGATTTTTTTAACTACTATGCAGTTTTCCTATGGCATTTAGATGCTTTTATTTCTTAATAATTTTAAAGTTCAAGGAAAAGGACACATTACTGCCACACAGCACATCACTGCATCTGCTTATGCCTTCAATCTAAAAATGTGACTTTGCCGAAAAAATGCCGCCTACTCGGCCTAAAATTATGACTCTGCCTACAAATTTTACCTTGATTTATGAAAATCTGGCTCCAGATGTGTGATTAATGAAGGTGAGATCAACCAGCAATCCTTATGATGCCAAATTTTACTGAAATCGGTGGATTTCAAAAAAGTACACCCGCCATATTGGATCAGCCATCTTGAATTTTTACAATGTGAATTCATATTCGTAATCAGCGACCCAAAAAACCCCTTTATACAAAATCTGGTCAAAATCCGCTCAGAATTTGAAAATAGCGATTCCTGCTCGGTTTTTTGAGGTTAGAAAAAAAACCACACGTTCTAGCTCAATTCTGACAGTGGATTTGAATTCAGCAGAGTCTTTTACATAAAAATGTACTATTTGATGTGGAAATAAATTTTTTTCCAAATTTTCCCAGTAAATTTTCATCAATTTTCACTATTTTTCACAAGTTTTTTGAGGTTAGGAAAAAATTGTGACGTGATGGGCCAATTCTGACCCCAGATTCGTGTTCAGGAGGCCAAATTACTACGAAAAATATATGTCGCATAAAAAGTATACCCAACTTTTTTTTTTCTGTGTGGCTGTGTTATCTTTAGACGTTTTGAATATATTAAAAAAAAAACAAGAATTTTAAACTGAATCTTCGATTCATATCTATGACGATTTTTTCTTACGTTGGGGAGTTTATCAGAAAGTAAAGTTTAGCCTATACAATTCGGGACACTCGGTATACAAATGAACTAAAGTACCTTAAGAAATAAGTGAAAATTTTTCCATATGTGAAAAAGTATCAATTTCAGCCTTGGAACGCTTTATTTTCCTTCCCTCGGTATATAATATACTATTTCTAGTTGCATACAATATTTTTTCTATTGCCTACCCAAAAAATATACGCTATAAATTAAAAAATATATATTTTATGTACTTTGTACACGAAAATGACGGTAATGGCATCTTTTAGCAACGTGAAAAAGTGTTGAGTTACATCCAGGATAGGTATTAGTAAAAAATATATACATTACGGTTCATTTCAACAAATAAAAATTTTATGTATCGATTTATTATCACTATTCCAGCTAATTACTGCCATTTGTAATCGATAATTTCACACATAAATTAATTACATCATAAACCATTACTATAATTGTATGACCTTAAGTAACAAATCTTGGATGTTACGAGTGTGTAAACAATAATAAGAGAAATTTTAATCGCTGACGCCTACTTTAAAATCACTTAATGTTTTTCGTTACGACAAACAATTAGTTGTAACTTTAATACAATTTATCTCTGTTTTCGTTGTGAAATCATAATATTTGCGACAAATGAAAGAACTAGCTCAACAGTTTACAACATTTCTACTACTATTTTGTAAGTTGTGTATTTCTCCCCTAAATGGGTCGCCGGGTTATCTCAATTGAAGCAATAAACATTGACTCATTTGATTTTGCAGAGGCTCCGGTGCCAAAGAAAGGAACCCTGCAGATTGTTTACCGTCCGAAAACGCCAAGAGTTTTTGGACGAAGTGAACGTAAACACGCTGTGTCAATGCCCCCACGCGCACAGATGTCCGCACCACCACACGGACTACGGAGTAATCTCCGGCAAAAGCTACACGGAAGAGGCCATCAAGACTTACAGTGGCTACTGCTTGCCCTCTTAAGACGTCGTCTTGGTAGATGTCGCCCCTTTTTCTTTGTATATATCTTGCCCGCTTGCTTTGCCTGGATGCAACTCTGTGGTTGCGATCGAGAGATTTCGAAAGGTTATCGAATATTCCGAAAATAATTGGTGTCTCTCATCTCATTCAGCAAACCAAACACGGAGCGATTTGATATCGAGCCATATTTATTTTGTTATGTATTTCCTCGCAACAACAGGTATTCACCCAGTCAACGTGACTATAATGACCATATATTCTATAAATTAATTTATATTGTTTGGTTTATCGAGTTCTGTATAACTAAATACAATCAGTGACAGAATAAAATTCATAACCAAACTGGAGTCGGACTCTCTTTTTAATTTTGTCGTATTTTCCATTTTTTTGTCAAGAAATTAATTTTGTTTCGATTTTGATCAAGAAAATCTTTAATTCCAAATATTTTTTGTCGCATAGAGTTTAAATGAAGCAACTTATTTAAAAATTAATCTCAATGGACTGTAAAACGGATTATTTATTTCCTTAGTACAATAATGAAGTTTCTTTGCTCAATTTTGTGACGAACTTAAGGCTTTAATTTATTAATTTTATATACCTGTGGAGGTTTTTAAGTGGTAGGTATTTATAACATTGTATCGTTTCCATTTCTTTAAATTACGTATAACTTACGTTATCACAAGGCCTAATCGCAAAAACACACTGTATCACATCCGGGTATAATCGCATATATTTTCTTAAGAGGGCTTTATAGAAAATAGGCAACCAGCAATACATTTTTATACATTTTATTACACAGCTTCACGTGTCAAGTTTTCAGATCTGCAGTTTAAATTTTTTTAGCGTCAGCAGTTTTTGAGTAATAAATAAATCTACGGGAAAAAAGAATTGTATATTTTTGCTTTTTTTAAAAAGACCTAAGGACTTCAAAAATTTTTTTTTGGTAATTTCATCATAAAGCTCTTTTAGACAATTTAATTCTCTTCAATTTAAGCGGTTCCGCCTTGTACGATTATTTGTCGCTATTTCTGACTGGCAATCAATTACTCGGGAAATAATGGTCGAACAGAAAATTCAAGCAGAGTTTTAAAAACTGCAAAGTATTCTCTACAAGTCGTAATTATGGGTTTTTGATATAAAAAATTTTTCAAAGTGAAAATGTTGGTTAGAAAAAAGGTAAAAATTTGTATAATTTTGGGATTTTTTTAATATCCCTTAATTTCTGTGCCTAGTGTATGAATTAACAACGGACTTTCCTCCATTCTAAAGCAGATTTTCTATAAAATGGAGTTAGTTTGAAACTCAAATTACTTTTTGTTGTAAAGAAATTTGTAATTTGCCGACTTTCTACAAGCGACAACGTAAATTACAAATTTCTTTACACCAAAAAGTAATTTGAGTTTAAAACTAAGTCCATTTTGTAGAAAATCTGTGTTAAAATGGGGGAAAGTATGTTATTTGTGCATTAATTCATATTTAGACAAACTGTGTAGTAAAATCTATAAAAATGTATTACTGGTTGCCTATTTGCTATAGAGTCCTCGTAATATCAATATTTAGTTGTTGGATTGTTTGAAAGAAATTACGAATATTTGCGAATAACTTGCTGTTTCGGTAAATGTTTTTGCGATTACGCTACGCGAAGAAGGATAATTGTAAAGACTTGTATTATATAAAAAAACATTTCACAATACGTTTGAAACGTTGTTAATTTAATTTTAATGAATAAAAGTTATTATTTTAATTATTTTACTGTACAATTAAATTAAATATTTTTATTTTTTGTAAAATGTAATGTACAAATACGAAATAAATATTACTGTAGATTAATATTTTTTAAATTAATCCGAGCCTTGAAATTTAAAATTAGGAAAACATCCGCACAGCGAGTCGTCGCTAGGCAACCCGTAATGTCACCCCGTGCTGGTTTAGTAATCTAACCTTCGTCTGGGATACAAACGATGCCAAATTACAATTTACATCTTGTGTTTCGTTTTCTACTTGTTTACGTTTACAAATAACAAACATACTTATTTGAACAGAAACTCAAACGAAATAAAAAATATTTAAATAAAACACATCCCAGGTAGCTCTGATAATTTCAGTGATACAAAACAAAAATGTCTCTCATTAAACGACAATTTCTCAAATTTATTTTCGATTATACAGGATGTCCATAAAATAGGTATTATTTGATGTTATTTAATGATGTTTGCAGCATCATTCAAAATGTCAAATATACCCGAAATAAACATAACAGCATACTGTTTTCGCCATTCTTTCAAATGTAATTTTGTGCATTACTTACTAAATAGTTTGAAATAGGAAAAATAGTAATTACAAACCTCAGAATTTTAAAGTTTTCAGTAAAGGAATATTTAGTATCTACTCGTATTTCGTTTTGTATTATTTGTTGCAGTTTCCGCCCTTTAAAAAGGATGTCACATGACAATGGACATTTAAGAACCAAAATGGACTGAAAAATTATTGTATGGATATCGTTTAATATTGCACTGTAGCGACGAAGAATAAATTTTACTTTTTATAAATCTCCACAAGAAAAACTTAGATTTTGTTAGATCAGGAGACTTACCTAACCAACAATGAAAACAAAATTACACAGGATGTTTTACTTTTACCGCAAACAATTTACAAAAATGAAGAAATTAATTTAGTGTGATTTTTATTTGACATTGGAGATACGGGAGGATTCCTCTTAAGTGGGACACCCTGTATTTCCATTTCCTTTGCGAATTTTCTATTTACCTTGAAACGGTGCTTCTTCCCCCGTTTTTCGCAGAATAAAATGCGGCGGAAACGCATTTTATTATTAATATAATTTATTAATGTGATAAGAGCGCAAAAACTATGTTAATAATACGGATACGAAAATTTTAAACGGTTGTAACGTTTATGGGCTATAATCCTGCTGCACTAGTTATTTATTTTTCATCATCAAGTTCTACAAATAACTGATACGCCTGAATTAATTCGCGATGCGAGGTAGAAAATAAAGCGAGTGCAAAAACTGATAATAATTTAAGAATAAAGGAAACGATTATTAATAAACTGACAACAGGTAGCAATTACACTTCCCCTAGGTATAAAATATAAAGTAAGAAACAAATTACCAGAACATCACTGACGCGCAAGCGAAAGAAACAATTCAATTATAATATTCTTTATACCGGAAACCAAGGATTCATCCGGTGCTTTTACCTTTCACAGTATCTAATTTTAATAATATATAAATGTATTTTAAATCACAGTAAAATGATGCATAAAGAAACTACTAGGTTTAAATAAAATATAATTATCTTTTATTTATATTTTTTTGTCAACAAAGGAAATTTTCGTAAATTAATCTTGGTATGACCCGTTTTAAAGGATGCTGAATACAGTGCAGTGGTGTAGTTAACATGTTTAAAAAAACCGGAACTAAAAATCTACGAAGTTGTGGAATTATTTTTGTTTCAAACAATTTAAAAACCTGAAATCCCTGCTTCGGAAGCTTTAAAATTATATCTGATCAAAATGTCATTAAAAATAGTCAGATTTAGAATTCAGAATCTGTCAACAAGTGGTGTATATACTGTCAGTAACATTTTCGACCGTGTTTTGAAAATTTCCGTCGAAGTTTTTAGGAAGGTCCAACCGTCGACAACGCAACGGTCTGCGGAAATTTCGAATTTCTCCGAAAAATGCGAAATTCGAATTGGAGAATCGCAAAACAGAATTACAGTACTACGTCACACTACAAGTCCATCACCCGTTCCAGGGGACTACAATCCAAAGATGGGCAAAATCCAAAGACTCCAATTGTCTAAACCTAAGGCGAATTTCGCTGCAGGACGTCTGCGGACCCATCAATGAATGCGATCGAACGTCGACTGTGGTACATTACAGGTTACCAGGAACGGAAGCTGACCAGTATATGTACAATATAAAATTTCTTATTTGCATTATATACAATGAAATAACATACACATACTCATTTATTGTTATTAGGAGAATAAATCCATTCTTAAACATTTTACGAGCATATTGCTCTCAAACTCATAAGTCTTATACGAGGCCTACACAAGGTTCAAGAATTTTCCAAATTTTCAGGAACTCAGAAGAGACCTCAAAAACGGTGTTAGTCAAGGCAAAGCCTAAAAGACAGCGATATAGTCACTAGAACAACCAGAAAATGTTCTCTAAAACAAATTTAGTGCATCTAGTCTCATTGTCAGTTGCAAGGCTCCAGAAACCGTAACGTCTCGAGGCGATTAAGCACCTTTTAGAGAATTAAGCAATTACTCTAAAAATGTGTACGATACTATTCAATCAAATAAGACGTTGCTTATTACGGAAGTATCTACGGTTAATATACAGTACATTGCAAAATTACTAGATGATGACGTTATCTTTAAAACAATTATACAGCAAATTCCTATTGAAGAAAGCTGTAATTTTTACCAAAAGAAAAATGAAAGAGCAGTTAAAACATTTTACACTTAGGCTATTAGAGGTAACAGCATCATCATCGTAAAAGCAAAAAGTTCGACTAATAATAAATTGCGCACAGGTAATGCAATTTCATCGGCTTTTATTCTGTTTTATGGCCGTTTTCAAGGTGACGGCATAACACGGGGGAAAATGGCGTAATTGTCCCGTAATCTAATTATAATTAAAAAGAAAACATCTATTCTCGCGAAGCCATTTTTGACCCTCGTTCTCAAGCACATACAAAGACAACAGGCATACATCACAGATGTGCATTAGGATTAGGAACGTTTACAATAGCTCACAGTACACCTCATATCTACCAACCGTTACTTTATTATGATTTTGATTAACATTTGCAATAAATGTCCTGTTAGCAGTTTGGTTGCATATCTTCACGCAACTTAATACAATCACTTTTTGTCCTCTTGATTCTTCATCGCCGCATTGTAAATAGATGTGCCACTCGAAAGGACGCCAAAAAAAAAAAATAGGTTAAATAAATCTCACTGCCTGTTGCGAAAGTGTGGCAAATAATTCACCGTTGTAGACGTAATTACGAATTTGTCTCTCGAAATTTGGTTTATTTTAATTCACATCAACCTCATTTTAGAACAATTAATATATAATTTTTTGGTCATTATATACCGTGTGTTCGCGTCCAGCTGGACGCAGTGACAATAGACCTTATTAGTAGTGACGTCACATACGCCAAATAATAGGGAACCCCATAGTGCACATTGTCATGAAGAATTTCTCAATATTTTTACTAGATCGATTTTCGACCTTATGCACTTTGGACATAAGTGTTAAAAAAATGACTTCTTTGTCATGACTAAATATCGGGATATTCTGGCAATATTAGAAATATTTAAGAAGTTTCAAACCCCAATGACAAACTAATAGAATTATAGAATTTATGTATTTAAATTTATAGAACAATGTTGACTTTTATAGTAATTAATAAATTAAAATTATATAAATGTTACTGAGCATGCGCTTTAAAGATAATATTTTCATGTAAGCGAAGTAGCCGCGCAACAGGATATCATTCAAGGAAAGTTAGGTTATGGTTAAGAGTACGTCTATAATAAACCACTTGAAGAAAAACACACAGTACAACACCAAGAAAAACAATATAAATACTAGAAAATGCAAAGATTAAACAAAACAAGAGAAAATACGCTAATGATAGCGACAACATATCAACAAGAGCTCATCTGCGTATGAGGCTATTCTCCCCGAACATGAACATTAGGAATATAATAACACGGCTAATGTTAAATTTTCACTATATTTAAATTAAGGAATATTGTTTTATATCGCTTTTTT